GTTTGGAGCTTTTTAAATTTAATCCTCTCTACCAATCTTTGTCTTTTGGTTGGTTTATTTAGACCATTTACATTTAATTATTTATATGTTTGCATTTTAGGATGCTATTTTATTATCTGTTTTCTATAGGGTTATTGAAAAAGTCATGACGCATGTTTGCAACAGATGGCACTAGTTCATTTTTGGAAGTACTAGTCATTCACATCTATGTTTCTATGTTATTGCTATGTCATTTGACAGCTGACAGTTCTAGCTTCATTCTAAAAACAAACTGAGTGATTTGGTTGAGTTTTCGAGATCTTACAACAAGTTGAAGATGGAAGACCAAACTGTGCATTTTTGCCATGTTTTACTATTTTACTTCCACAAAGGGAAGAACGCGCATCAAGCTTGTGAAAAGTTGCATAAAGTTTACGGTTTCAATGCTGTACAAGAACATCAGTGCCAACGATGGTTCATGAAATTCCATGCTGGTGATTTTGATCTCAACGATGCTCCTTGTTCAGGGAGGACCACCGAGGTTAATGACGACAAAATAGAGGCATTGATCGAGTCAAACCCACATTAGACAACACGAGAGATTGCAGAAACATTGAACATCCATCATTCAAGCATGCACAACATTGAACATCCATCATTCAAGCATGCACAACCACCTGAAGAAGCTGGGATACATAAGCAAGCTTGATATTTGGGTTCTGCATGAACTCAAAGAAGTTCATTTGATGGCGCGTATAAACATCTGCAATATGCTCATTAAACGTGAGGAAAACAATCCTTTTTTGAAGCAACTGGTAACTGGTGATGAGAAGTGGATTGTTTACCACAATGTAGTGCACAAACGGTCTTGGTCCCGACGTGATAATTCACCCCAAACGACATCAAAAGCAGACACTCATTAGAGGAAGGTTATGCTCTCAGAGTGGTGGGATTTTAAAGGTGTCATGTTTTTTGGTCTCCTACCAAGGAATGAAACAAACCAAACAATCAATTCGAATGTGTACTTTCAGCATTTGGACAGTTTGAACGAATCCATCATCCAGAAACATCCAGAGCTTGTTAATTGTAAAGGAGTTGTGTTCCATCGCAACAATGCAAGACCACACACAAATTTGATCACCTGTCAAAAATTATTGGAGCTTGGATGGGATGTGTTGCCACAACCACCATACTCGCCTGACCTTGTGCCGTCAGACTTCCACTTGTTTTGCTGTCTTCAAAACTCCTTGAGTGGTATAATGTTCAATTCAGATGAGGCTGTAAATCAGCACCTTGTTCAGTTTTTCACAAATAAAGACAGGTCCTTCTATGAACGAGGAATTATGAAGCTCACTGAAAGACGGCAAAATGTTATCTAACAAAACGAGCAATATATCATTGACTGATCTTTGTTCTTTATATAAATAAATGACCTTTGAAAAACATAGACAAAATACATCATGACTTTTCCGACAACCCAATATTTGTTTCTTCTGGTTTTGTTGCTCTATTTTCTCTTTCTTGCTTTTCTGCAGGTTACTTGAAGATTTTTAGGATTCCATCTTAATTATTTATACCACTTTTGAGTTTGTCTCTGTAGAGTTTTCATATAAGTGCTACTTATAACTATGTACTGGTAACAACATTTACCACTTCAAATGAAGTATAAAAACCTCACTTTCATTTGGGTCCCTTTACATTTCCCACCTTTAAATATCATTGTTTAGAATATTTGATGTTATTATAATTTTTGTTTCAATAATCAACTATGATTTATAAAACCCACAAGGAAAATAACTGTCTATTGTTTGGACTCATATTTCTTCTCTTTCTGTTGTTCCTTCTTGTTTCCTGATGCTCAAAGAATCCTTTTACCATTTCATTTCTGTTTAAAGAACATTCTTTAGCCAGTCTTTTAAGGGTAGTTTTGCTAGTCACAAAATCTTTTAGTTTTCATTCATTTGTGAATGTTTTTATTTTCCCTTCATTCCTGAAAGTTAGTTTTGTCAGACATAGAATTAGGGGTCAACAATTCTTTTCATTTAACACTTAAAAATATTCTGCCATTTCCTTCTTCATGGTTTCGCATGAGAAATCCATTCTAATTGATGTTTCCATATAGGGAATACTTTTTTATTTTCCCCCTCTGGCTGCTTTTAGGATTTTTTCTTTGTCTTTACTTTTCAAAAGTTTTATTATATGTCTTGGCATGGCTTCTTTAGGTTTATACTGTTTAGGACTCATTCCACTCTTTAGGCATCTCTAGGTTAATGCCATTTATCAAACTTGGGAAGCTTTCAGCCATTATTTCTTTTCTTTCTTTCTTTTTTAAAGATTTTATTGGGGAATTGGGGAAGGGGAAGAGTGTTGGGGAATTAGGGAAGGAGAACAGCCAAGTTGTTGTCCTTCAATCTTAATTGTGGAAGGCACAGCTACCTTAGCTCCAAGTCCAGTCACCGTCTGGCCACCTGTCGGCAGCTCACAGCCGCTCAGCTCAAGGTGTTGTGTTCAATCTTAATTGTGGGGGCATAACCCACCATCCCATGCGGGAGTCGATCTGGAAACTTTGTTGCTAAGAGCGCACGCTCTAACCACTGAGCCATCTGGCCACCCGTTGGCAGCGGAGGGCAGCTTAACTCAAGGTGCCGTGTTCAATCTTGGTTGCAGGCGGGCACAGCCCACCATCCCATGCAGGAGTCGAACCGGCTCCTTGTTAGGAGCACGTGCTCTCACCAGCTGAGCCATCCTGCCACCTCTTGGCAGCTCAGTGGCAGGTCAGCTCAGGCGCAGCTCACCGGCCCACGTGGAAATTGAATCAGCGACCCTGTTGCTCAGAGCTCATGCTCTTAACCAACTGAGCCACTCAGCCGGTCCAGCCATTATTTCTTCAAATGCTCATTTTACCCACTCTTTCTCCTCTACTTTCTGGGACGCCAATGATATGAATGTTGATATTTTAAAGACCTTATTATTGTCCCACAGGTCTTTGAGTCTCTGTTCGTTTTTTCCAGTCTATTTTCTCTCTGTTGTTCAGATTGGGTGGAGTCTATTGTACTGTCCTCAAGTTCACTAATTCTGTTCTCCATCATCTCCACACTACCTTTGAGGCCATCCAGCGAGTTTTTAATTTCTATTGTATTGTTTCATTCTATAATTTCTGTTTCTTTTTTTCTAACTTCAATTTCTTTTCTGAGATTTTCTATTTTTTTCATTTCAGAGAATTTGTAATTGATTATTGTAGCATTTTTTATAATGTCTGCCTTAACATTCTTATAACTCCAACATTTGATTTATCTCTGTTGGCATCAGTTGATTTCATTTTTCATTCAAGTTATGATTTTCTTGGTTTGTATCCAAGAAAATGGATGTTAGGACACTCCAGGTCCTACTTAAATATACAATTTTACAATGCATTACTTAGGTTTAACATATGATTATTAACCTACTTTTGTGGGCTATGATTCCAATGGAAGTTTGAATTTCAGAGCCTTTGTGGTGTTATTTTTGTCTGTTTGATATATCCAGTGCTGCTGGGGCTTGCATTGGGCTCTGTTGATGCTGAGTGGGTGGGAGGAATTTTCTCTGGCTGAATTGCCAGATATCTCTTGGTGAGGAAAAGGTATGGAGAAATCCTTCTATTGGTACCCCCCAGCTACTCGGGTTTCTTTGAGCCAGGGAGGAGAGTCTCAGTTCCATGGAGACAAAGTGGCTTCTGGGACCAGGTTGCTAGGTACAGGGCTATTAACTGTGACAGGTTTTTTTCCTGGTGCCACGAGTCAGCCATAGTGTCTCTGGACAGTGGAAGAAAGTCTCCAGGCCTCAGGCACAAAGAGACTTCCCCAGCCGGGCCACCTGCTTTCCTGGGTCTCTCTTACTGGTTCCTACTAACCACCTTAGCATCTTTCCATGGAAAAGAGGATTCTCTGGCCCAGCAGGGAAGAAGAATGCTTGCCCTGTTTTTGGCAGAGCTCCTAGTTGGTCCCCCTTGCATGAGGTTGTCAGAGGAACTCCCTCGAGATCCAAAGAGAAGGATGAGTGACAGGGCAACCTTCTGCTGCTAGTTGGGTAGTCAGAAAATCCTAGGTCTGGGTGGCCACCTTATGTTGATTGGGGGATGCAAGATGACCTGACTTTGTGTTGTTCCTCTGGTCCTGGGTTCCCAAACTAGCTTGCTTTCTTCTTAGCATCCTTTAGATTTCCTTTTCCTGTGCCATTTCCAGGGTTCATAAAGTTGTGCTTAGCAGGAAGGAGCTGGGGAAAATGTCTATGCCATCTTGTCCAGACCAGAAGTCCCCCACCTAATGAAGTTCATGTATTCATTATCCATTAAAATTTTAATTTTTTTTCTGTGTTGCTGCTAATTTAGACTGTTACATTATGGATATAAAAAAAGCCTAAAGAAATCTTTGCCCATTGCAGGCATTTAACCTATTTTTTCCAATGTGTAATTAATGAGCCTGGGGGAAAATGAACATGTGAACACAACAGGATCTAAACTGAGCTTGAAGCCATACTCATAAAAATACTGTTGAGGAACATACACACACCCCTCCTTTCAGGCCATCTCCTTCCAATCTTTTCAAGGAGGGTCTCTCCATCAAGCACAAATGGATTCATGAAGCCACCAAGGGAGCTGGGGAAAATGGGAGTAGTAGAGCTTATTATAGGGAGGGCACAGCCCCCTCCGCCTGGGGCTCTGAGTGGCAAAACCCGCCTAGAAACTTCTGCTTGGGAAGGTTGAGTGGTGCCAGGAGCAAGGCAGTTCCAGAACTACCCAGGTTGGCCTCGCTCTTTTCTGAGCTTCAGCCTGGAAGGAGGCTTAATCCAGTCAAGTGCACCAAAGGAGATATTTATTTGGGGCAGAATCCTTAGGCCAGTACATGTTATTTCTTTCTTATTTACATACACTGTTGTTCCCAAGAAACATTTAAAGTGATTTTAATGGATACATACTATATAAGAAAATATAAATTAGATATAGGCAAACAAAACAAAACACACACACACAAACCCCCCCCCCCCAAAAACAAGAGGAAAACAAGGGACTGGAGTAAGGCTGGTGCAAAACTGCTTCTTTGTGATTTTCTACACTTGCAATAAATAGCCCAAGAGAGGGCACACTGCTGGAGTATTCCCTGTGCCATCTCTGACTGGACCCTCAGGAGCACTCAGGATGGGACATGGTGGCAGCAAGGTGGACTCCTAACATGGAGGGACCCTCCAGATATGCTACAGAGGGAGACAAGTACCCATGGAAATTTCCCTATAGTGCTCTATAGATTTTGTGCTCTTGAAACATGTTTTGTTTTTTTCTTAAAGATTCCTGAGTTCTCACTTTAAGAATGGTCATGGTTCTGAGCAGTGTAACCTAGCTGAAGACTCAGGCTACTAAGTTCTTGAGGGATCACATCCCATTTGGGTCCACTACAAGTCAGAGACTATCTAAATATGCAGAGTGTGAACCAACGCCAAAACCAAGTTATTAATTTCTCAAACTCTGTTTTTAAAATTCTTCTATTTGATTCTCAGAATCTAAGTCCAAAACTGTTAGATACAGACTTGCGGTGTCCTTCCCAAGTCACTTGGAAATCTAGGTGGTGCTGATGACATGCAGGAGCTGAGTAGTCACAGAAGTATTGCTGTGCCCGGTGACTAAATGACCACACTCCTTCCACTATGGGAGCTCTCTCTCTCCTGAGGAATAGAAAAACACACAAAAAAATCCAGTCAGCTAGGCACTATTGTCTGTGCAAACAATACACAAAGGTGTTCTTGATTCTGGTGCAAATCCTAGGTGAGTGGTAGCTACTGGGTCAGCAGATGTGAATCTAAAAAATATTTCTTAACTCTTCATGAAGCCAGTCTCTTCCCAGGGTTAAGTTTCTTTTCATTTCTACCTCTCTGAAGCCTCCCTCAGACACCTTTAATTTCTGAAAACTTATTACAGTCTCATTCTGCCTTTTATTGATTTTCAACATCTTCAAGCCTCCCTTAGACTGAAAAAGAAGGTACCCTGTTCCATTCATCAGTCTAGCTCTCTACCATTCATTCATGAAGACATGGCCCAGTTCTCCTTTTCCTATTTATATTCTTCTGAACTATTCCTTCTCAGCTCTCATTTAAAAAATTTAGCTTCATGGGCTGGCTGACTGGCTCAGTTGGTTAAAAGAGCAAGCTCTGAGCAACAGGATTGCCAGTTCGATTCCCACATGGACCAGTGAGCCGAGCTGAGCTTCCTCTGAGCTTCCAACAGGTGGCAGGATGGCTCAGCTGGTGAGAGCACGTGTTCCTAACAAGGTTGCCGGTTCGACTCCTGCATGGGATGGTAGGCTACACCAACCTGCAACTAAGATTGAACATGGTACCTTGAGCTGAGCAGCCGCAAGCTGCCGACAGGTGGCCGGATGGCAACTGGACTTGGAACTGAGCTAGCTGTGCCCTCCACAACTAAGACTGAAGGACAACAACTTGGCTATTCCCCTTCTCCAATTTCCCAACACTGTTCCCCTTCCCCAATACCCCAGTAAAATCTTAAAACAAAAAACAAAAAACATGTGCCTTCATACTTTAGTATTTCCTTGAAGTTATTTTTTGAAGACCCTTAATTACCTCTTCCTGACCAAACTTAGTGGCCTTTCTTCAGACATTATTACACTTGATCTTTTGGCTTTTTCAACTTGCTCTGAGGGCAAGGACTATGCTTTACATTTCTCATATTTCTCTACCTTTGTATCATAGGGGATTCTCTTATTTAAGTTTTTAATATGTACAGCTGTAGTCCACGAATGTGACCTTTCTTATCTTATTTGAAATGGCAGGATAAGGTATCTGTCCCAAAACATACTGATCAAAATGCATCATATATGTATGTATATTCATGTTGCTACTTTAAAAATACTTTGTGTTTCCATTTTATCAGAACAGTGAGTTTTAGCAGCATGGTTTCTAATCAAAATGCTGTGGGATGAATGCTCTCTAAAGCAAAGAAAAGCAACAAAATGAGGCAAAAGGAAGTTGTCCAGGGCTTGATGAATTAAAATCTAGACATTATCAAAGAATAGATATTTTATTCAAAGTATAAGATGAAGTATCCTGACCTAAAAAAATTTTTTTTTTATTAAGTCAACAAGTCAAGAAAAAAAAATCTTAGATTCTCTAAAGAAAGTTTACGTTTAGCTCAGAGAATCAAGACTGCAGTAGTTTTCTATTAGAAAATGTGTGTACAGGCCAAGTTCAGAACAAACCAGAAATGCCTTGAGGAGCCCTTTCTGATAGGACATGATTAGAAAAAAAGATAATTGATTTGAAGGAGGCCAGGAACATAGGGGCCACTCAGCCTAATACCACTGGGGTTTAAAGCTTGATGTTACTGCTTCTTATATTTCTGAACTTGCAACCTTTCATGGCATGAAAAGACCAGCAGACCTGAAATGAGATCTCGCTGGAGTCCTGGTGCTGAAGTCAAATGGGAGATTCCTCAACATAACTCCCATTTTCTCAGGGGCACTGTTCAGAGAATAGTTCCTACCTATTTTGCATTTCCACGGAAGATCATTTACATGGAATCCCTTATCTGTTGGTATCTACTTAAACATTCTTCTTGTGAGAGGAGGCTCCGTGTGAGCTTTTTTTTTTTATTAATTCATATTGATCTGAATATTTAATAAAGTATTTTTAATAAGTTTTGTAAAAAGCTACGGTAAAACTATAACTGCTGAAAACCTGATTTAAGAAAATAGTAACACATCAACTCAAGGAGTAAACAGAAACTTCATGTTATAATCAAAGATCACCATCTAGTGGCCCTATTATATTACAACTTCTGAAGTTATTTGCAAGCTCCAAAGACTTCAGAGGCTAGGAAGGTGTATGGGAAGCACCCAGCCCCCACCGGGGAGAGAAATGAAGGGTGAGACTAGCCCTGGAAACTTTGGCCCCACTAAAGGCATTCAAAATTCAAGTTTCACACCAAACACTGTGCCCTTCAAACCAACCAATCTTCAAAATCAAGTTTTGATCCTGGGCCACTGGTCACTCAGAATATGAGTGGACAGTTAATGTGATAAAGTAAAGTGATAGCTCTTTGGAAGATAAGCTCAAAGAGATCCAAAACAATGAAGGCTTTTAAAATGATCTTGAGCGAAATCTTTGCGCACACTAGCAACTTTACTATCAAAACTATGGTTTGCTTGTGGCAGAATTATTGCTTGTGTGTACATCTTGATGGTACAGGAAGCTGATACTTTCGGAAAACGAAGAATTAAAGTCACGGAAGACATCACTGCCCCACAGGATTCTCTTCTGTCTTTCTAATGAGGCAACAGCTCATACTGAAAAGAGCACAGGTTTGAAAGTCACGAGACTGTGTTCACATTCTGCCTTCACTCCCTTTGGGCATGTTGCTTAATCTCATTGAGCCTCACAGAGCTGTGATAGGGATCAAATGAAGTAAGACTTAGAAAGGGCTTACCCCAGTGCTTTGGTGTTCCTTTTACCCCTCTCTCACAAGAAACTACATAATTTAACTAAAAAAAAATTAAAGACAAGAAGATACTTAGAAGAAAATAGGGCTTGTATTTGGGGGGGTCAAAAACTGGTTTTTAGATTACAATTTTCTGTTAAAATGAAGACAAGAGACAGTTTATTCACTACATAATTCAAGTAATAGCAGTTGTCCTAGCTCTAACTGATTCTGGGTTTTCTTTCAGGATATAATTTTCTTACTGGTAACAGGGAAGAAAGAGTTACATCCCCTGTAAAATGAAGATAATAGTACAAACTTCACAGTGTTGTAAGGATTATGGGTGTAGCATACATGTCCATAGCTCAGTACCATTTAGTTAGGATACTACTAATTTTCATTATGACTGGTCTTTGCCTGTCTCGTGGGGCATCTGTGAGAATATAATTGCCATTGACTATTTCAGAAATGCCTGCAGGCCTTTGCTACCTTCTTCACAAAGCCCTCTCACCAAGGTTCCCTAGAAGACCAGCGCTGTGGCTCTCATAAGGTGTCCTGTGACTTTGCACACACCATGCATGTGACTGGTTTGTAAACAAATTACAGCAGCACCTGCCTTTCCAAATGGGAGTTGTATCCTTCGAAGTGTGTGAGAGACTAAAATTCTTGTTCCTATAATATCCCTCTACTCCGGGAACGTCTCTCAGAGCTGACCACATATCCGTTTCTCTCAACAGAATTGAAATAGAAAAGGATTTGGGTCAAATAGAGAAATAGGTTTTTGTGGGTAGCTTTTAAGTTGACTCTGAAAGCAGTTCATGAATATTTTTTGAGCAATGATGGTATAACTTTGCGAAGGGATAACATTAAAAGAATGCCATTATTTGGGTATATTAACTATAAAATGTTTTTTTTAAGTCATATCTTTTTTAAAAACGGCCTATATTCAGAGGCCCAAAAGGCCTACATCCCTCTTTGCATCCCTTTTAGGCTGGTAAGCTGACTTGCACCCAATGCCACCTTGCCTAGAATCCTGCCTCACAGAATCCTGAAGTTTTGACCTACAGTGGTCTTTTTTTTTTTTATCAGTTCAATGATCCTTTCTAGGGGATGCCACAGAGGACCTCATCCTTGAAAATAGCAGGGCCCTTGCACACTGACTTGCAGCACCCAGAAGTGGCACATACATCCTCTGTCTGGCCACATCTTCTAATTTGGGGTATGGAAATACGGTTGCTAAGTAAAGCAAGGCAGCTATAACAGGAAGTAAAGCCTTAGCGGTCAAGACCAGCGTTCCAGTCCTAGCTCCACTATTCACTTGGTGCTTACTTATTCTGAGCCTCATTTCTTCATCTGTAAAATGGGGGACCCGAGGACGAGTAGGCCCTTTGTAAGCATCCAGCACCTTCCCTGCCCCCTGCACTCAATAGGCCCCTTCTAGCTCTACGAGAGGTCTCACCAAGCCCACAGGGCAAGCTTGTGCAGAGGTGCCCTCAGCGGTGGCAGGTGAGGTGGCCTGTGTCAGCTGTGGCCCAGCCTGGCTGAAGGGTCCTTTCTGCCCATGCCCTACCCTCAGCAGGATGCCCCAGGCTCACCGAGCGCCTCTCCACACTCCCTTTTTTCCTGCCATTCTTGCCTGGGATGACATCCAGTGAGCGGTAGCTGGGTGGCTTCTCCTCAGGCCAGTTTGGGGAGTGGGAGCGGCGGCGGCGGTGGGTCCCCCGGCTCCGGCTCCTGGGTAGCCTCTCCTTCTCCTCCTCGGAGCTCCAAGAGCTGAGGCCTGAGGGGAGGGGCGGGGAGTAGCTCCGGTGCCTCCGCCTCTGGTGCCTCAGGGCGCTCTCCCGGGGGCTGGGCCTGTGCGGTCTGTCTGGGTAGCGGTTCCGGATAGGGGGGTGGTTGGGCCGCCAGCGGTCCTCGCTGGACGAAAGGCCATCGCTGAGGCTGTCCCTGTCTGACCAGGGGATGGGCGACCTGTTCGGCCTGGAGCTGCGGTGCCTTCCATTCCGTAGTTGGTCCAGCTCCCTTCGCTCCAACGCCCAGCGTTTAGGTTCCGGGTCCTGGAGCTCATGGTGGAAATCAGAGTGGTGGTGCTGCCTTCTTTCCTCCCTCAGGTCCCAGAGTCCAGGGGGCGTTGGGGTGAGCCATTGCTGGCGGGAGGAGTTGCTGGCCCTCCTGGAAGACGGCAGGTCTCTGATTAGCGGGGGCAGGTGGATGATTCTGCGTTCCACCACCTCAGAGCCCAGGGAGGACAGCTTGCTGTGTGGTTGGCCAGATAAGGCTTTGAGGTCAGCGGGCAGAGGCTGGGCAGGGTTGAAGTTCCGTAGCTCTTTCTCCAAATACTCTAGGACACCGTTGCTGATGGGAGGGTGAGCAGTGGTCTGGGTCATTGGCATCTGTGGGAGGCTGGATCGCAGGGACAAATCTAAATGGAAACAAGGGTTAAGAACATGCAGAAATTCTGGCCCAAAACATGCTCCTCAGAATCGAGGCACCAAAATGCCACTCTATTTAGTTTGCATCCATTCCCTCCCATCCTCAATCATAAAGAAACCCACTCTATTGGTCAGGAAGGCCCCAAGGCAGCCCGTGCTCCTACCCTCTCCCACCTTAAATCTCTGGCAAGGTTTACCTCGCTGCAGCAGTTGGTTCATTGGATAAGATGAAAACTGGGAGCTCCTGTCCGCCCCCCAGTACAGGGGTTTTTCCATCATCTGAGTACCTAGGGCCCGAGCCTGCTTCATGTAGCGGTGGCGGGCCAGGGCTGCAGGGGGAAAAGGAGAAATGCAGACCCTCAGCCAGGGCAGTGCCACAGCTCCCACCTCTCTTGTCTCTACCCAGGGGCCTTGCCAAGAGGCCGGCTGCTCTCAAAGTTCATTATGACCTATCTTGCCTGGCACGGGAGTTAGAGTTAGGGGAGTAGTGAATCAACTGCTCCTCTGGGAAGGAACTGGGAATAAATTCCCTAGGCAAGACTGCAGCTCCTGCACTCCAGGAAAGCAGACTCTTAAAGCGTGACTTCCTAATCTCAAAGACATTCCATCATCCTGCCCATTCCTCAGGTCACCTAAAACGTATAGGTAGCTACATGGGTAGTTAGCCAGCAATGAAATCCCAGGCCACAAACCAACAAGGCCTTTAGCCACAGGCCAAGTATAGAAGGTACAGATGCAAAGAGCTTAGAGGAGGCTGTGAGTCAGGGGCTACGAGGTAAGCTCAGGGCTGCCTGCTCAGAGTGGAAAAAGAAAAAGAGAAGGACGTAGATGTGAAAGTCAATGGGCAGAATTACTGGTAATGAACATTTCTAGCTGGTATACCTGCCCTGGGTGGGAGAAAACCAGTGGGAGGAAGGCAAGAGAATACAAAAAGCTGAAGTGGATCCCGTGGGCCCTTTGTTTTCTTCTCCTCACCACATTAAATGTTGGGGTTTTCCCTAAGTCGGGGGAATCTCTCAGGAGTGGGGTGGAGGCAGAGAAGGGACATGGGAAATACCACTTCCTTTCAGGGCAAAGAAAATGATATTTTAAAAAGCAGCACAAGGGATCCATGGAAATGTCACTCCAGTCCCATAGGTGCGCAGCTGGTCTGAAGCTCACGACCCAGAGTAAATGCAAGTTATAGGCAAAAGTATTTAGTTGTTTTTGTTTGCAAATTTCTATTTTGAGGTCATTGTGATTGAGTGCCCCTGTCTCCCAAAGTCCCTGTCTCCCCATGCATGGAGGAAATGTACTTGTGTGTTTACGTGCAGGAAGTGCCTGCCTCGGGCCCCTAGCCTGGCACTCAACCCCTCCTGCGTTCCCCAAGCCCTGTGGCCACCCCTAATGCAGCAGGCTCTGCCTGAGGCCTCCTCCTGCCACCAGTAGGGGGGATAGAAGGCAGGCATTCTGGACCCAGCTGCACAAGGTGAGGCATTCGGTGATGCCAGCGGTAAAGGGGCCATCTGGACAGCTGCCCAATGGCTGCAATGTGAAACAAACTTCCAGCACAACAGGAAGTGGTTGCAGCAGAGCCCTCCAGAAATGTCCGGGGCTCCAGCCCTAATGGTAAGTCACAGCCCAGCCTGGAGGAAATCAGATGCAAACTTACAGCAGCTCCCCCCGGCTGCCACACCTTTATGCCAAAAACAGTACTCCAGAAATAAGTCCGCGTGCTTAGCACTTCCCTCTCCCTCTTGCTAACAGATACCTCCCCCAGCTTCCTAAACATGCCATCATTAGCAAACATAATGCCCTCCTTAATATGTGCCAGTCACTTTAGATAAACTCACTAGCCCTCAAAGAAATCTCTCAATGTGGGAATCAGACGAGGAAGCTGGACTCTGAGAGGTTGCTTTCCCAGGCCAAGGCTCCACAGCAAGTGACTGGTAGAGGCAGGCTGTCACCCTGTGTCTGTCTCACACCCAAGCCTATGCTCTTTCTGTTGAACCACCAAGTCCTCTGATGCCTTTATTTCTGTGAAGCAAACAAACAAAAAAAAATCCTTCCCTAGCAGTACCTCCTCACTTTATTTCTTTCCAACTCAGCTCGACACCTTTCAAAACCCACTCCCACTCCAGACTAGTCTCTGCTTCCAAGGCTCAGGGACATTTGATTCCATTGGGAACAACTCTACCCACCACCCACCCATCTAATTGAATGCTGGTTTCTTCCAGATGGTACCATTCCTTCATTTGGCCACTTCCTTCTTCTCCCCCAATTTAACAGGAGGGAAAGGGGGAGTTGGGCTTACTCTTCACTCCCCAAATGACTTTTTAAATTAATGGGGCCCCCTGCACAGAGAACTCCCAAGAGACCCTTCCAGATCCTCCAGGAGTTTCCTGTCAATTTTTCACACACTCCAGAGATTCAGCCACCAGCTGTCACCTTTTCCCCAGGGTCTCTCCTTTCCTGGAACCGATGAGATGTGAGTGGAAAACACAGTCTCTGAACTTCTCCCTTGCCTTCCTGTCCCTAGAAATATCCCCACGGGGATGTCTAGACTATCAGGGTTTTCTGCTGCTCGCCCAATGGGTAATCAGGCAGGTAATAAAACAAGAAACACAGAGAAAGAAACAAAGCTTCAAAAGGCTCCTAATACGTTATCTCTGAACCTCAATCGAGTAAAGTCTGCCTTGGTCACTTTTAATGCGCTGGTTAAAAATACAGACTCCTGGATCCCACTCCCCAGAGACTTTCCTTCAGTCTAATGCAAGGCAAGGAAATCTGTGTTCTCAACAAGGTCCCAGATTCTAGTGGAGAAGAGTCAAACTGGAGTTGACTACTGAGGAGTCTCAACAACCTTTTGAGAAATATGGTCCTCAGGAGCAGTCTCCTTAAAAGGGGGCTTGGAGGGTCAGATGGACTTCAATTTGAATACCAGTATGTACTAGCTGTGTGATTTTGAGTGAGTTTCTAGAGGGTCTGGGCCAAATCTCCTCATCTGTGAGCTGGGGATAATAATACCTATTTCAACAAGGTTGTTGAGGTTAAATGAGGTAATACACATGAAATGCCTAATATATAACGGTCAGTAGATAGTGGTTCATTGTTATAATAAATTGTTATAGTTAAGTCGCTTCTTTTGCCTTAGATCCCATAGGAGACAAAAGTACACATTTTGAAACTAAACCACCAAAGATATATTTATCTTCATTTCTAAGGAAAACCCGGGGCATATTTTTTAAGATGTCCCCTTCGTGACACAAATGACACTCAATACCTCCCTTCCTCCAGAGACCTGTACTTCTTGTCCCCTGCAGCCGGCATCATCTATAAACAAGACCCATGGTGTCCCTGAAGATTTCCAGTTGCACTTGCTCACAGCTGCTGGCCATCCTTACTACCCCCCTCCACTTCTCTGCCCTCTTTTGACCCATGGCCACGAAGTGCTTTCTCTTTTTCCCATACTATCAGTCCCCTATGACTTAACTGGCCAGTCATTTCAGCAACATCCTCAGGAGCTTTCTAGAATCTCACACCCTTTGAACTCTTACCATCTCAGCTTCAGGGAACCACCAGCAGATACTTCCTGGCCCCACATTGCCAGAGGTGACTATACTGTCGGGTAACTAACCTCAGATAGCCCTCCTCCCAACCTGACTTTCCCTGACTGATCTATCAACCCTCCTCCAGAGCAGCAGTTTAAACATTCCCCACTTCTCATGTCTTCCCCTCATGAACTTTCAGCCGATGATATCATCTTGGTTGAGGAAGAACCAGCCCTGGGCATGAAATCAAGAGACCCAGGTCTAGTCCAGGCCCCACCACGAACAAGCTGTGTGTACTTGTGGGAAGTCACACTAGGCCTCCCATCCCTCACGTGGGAGGAGGGTTAGGAGGTGGGTGGCACAGATCAGAGATTCTCAGTGTAGTCTGTGATCTACTGCAGGGTGTGCCTAGAGGTTCTGCGGGGAGGAGGGCCAGAAACCAATCTAGGGATGAAAGCTGTTTCTCCAGTTCTCAGAATAAATAATGTCCAGTTTCAATCACTTTCATCTTTACGTTCTACAGCAGGTTGTTTACTAGTTCTAAGTGAATTATTAAGAATTACTAAAATTTGGTGTCATTTTCATTTTGCTCCTCTCTGGTTAAATCTTACTAGTAAGTGAGAGGTTAGGGAGGTGGGCTGTGGTCAGAGAAGGTCAAGAACCACTGACATCATTCTTGAAGATCCCTTCTGCATCTAGAATTTTGATTTGCTGAAATCAAGACAGGCTAATGTGAGCTCCCTCAGCTTCCTCCTTTAGACTTTAATCATCTTCCACATTTTAATGATTTCCTCTCTCTTCAGACGTCGGGCTGTCTTTCCTTTCTTTTTTTTTTTTTAAGATTTTATTGGGGAATTGGGGGAAGGGAACAGTGTTGGGGAGTCGGGGAAGGGGAACAGACAGATAGACAAATTGCTGTTTTTGTTCTTCAGTCTAGTTGTGGAGGACATTGCTTCACTGGCCCATGTTGGTATTAACATTGTGCTCTTCCCGGCTGAGGCCGTTGGTCGCTGGGCCATTGGACGCCCGCTCACGGCGGCTCACGCCCACTGCCGGCCAGCCCCACTGCAGCCTACGCTGTCGCTGGTGACTCCTAGCAGCTCACCTCCAGGTTGAGCTGTTGTTCACTATCTTAGCTGTAGAAGGCGCAGTGTCACTGGCCCTAATGTGGGATCCGAACCGGGACCCTGCTGCTCAGAGCTGGTATCCCAAGCCAACTCATAACCAATGCGCCACTCGGCCGGCCCTGCTTTCCTTTCTAAAGGTAGTCCTTTCACTGTAAGCGTGATGTCACTCGCACTAGCGTCATTGTTCCTCAGGAATTACCTCACTTCCTAATGCTTCACTTCACACATTTTCCATTGGCCTTGGTTCTTTGCCTACAAATATACTTAGGGTTATCTTATTCCAAAAAACCAGAAAAGTCACATACAACCCCTTCCCCATCTAAGCACTTTCTTTAACACCTTCTACCCCCTCCATGTAACCTCCTCTTGTCACCAAACTTCTCAGGACAATCTTCCCTAGTGACTCATTTTGAAAGTGACCTCATCTGCTCAAGTATAGGGGCCTTTATTTGTGACCTGCATTTCTTTACTTCACTTATTTTTCTATATGAACTCTAACCACTTAGGAGGAACTACTCTCTCCCAGAACCTGTTTATCAGCTGACTGACAGTGGGTACATTTATCATTTGTGCAGGGTTTGTCCCTAGTCCTGCCTGTTTTAAGTATTCCACTGACCTAGGGATTCTCAGAAGGCACCATGGGAGGGTTTTTCACATCTCTTCCTGCAATATTACCACTCCAGTGACTGTGACCTCTCCATGGCGTTTCTCCCAGAGGCCCTTAAAGGTAGAGAGCTCTATAGCCCAGTATTGAGTTCTCTGTTATTTTTCCTCTCTTTAAGGAGTTCATTGGTATTTCAGCCAATCCCATTTTGTGGGAAATTCAGGCTCTCATAAGTCAGATGAACATGGCCTCAACACTGTAGTGCCGCTACTACTTACTAGCTGGGTGACTTCTCTGAACTTCAGTCTCCTCATCTGTTAAATAGTGACGATACCTGCCTTCTAGGGTTGTGAAGATTCAGTAGGGAAATATATGCAAAGGGCCTACACATAGCAGACATCCATTAAAAGTTAGTTCTCTTTTCCTGTAAGACGGTAACCTCGGAACAGGCCTGAAACCAGACTCAGACCACTGACCTTCTTGGCATCATAGATTAGGTTTTGTTTCTATCTTACGAGGCAATTCCTTATTTTTCCTCTAAAAATTCCTTTTCAAATGGATCAAAATGATAAGAGTGGTTTATCTCTGGGTGCTAAAATTAGTCTTTACATTTTCCAGAATTTCTCAAATTTTCTACAATGTAATACTTTACTCATATCAAGAAAAGGAAATGTTATTTTAAAAACACAAAAACTCCTTCCATTTAAAGAAGATTCCACTCCATCTATTTACTAAGAAAAGATCTTTGTAGAATAATCTGTTATTTTTTTTATGTTCATCATGCATTCTGCAGCCAAATTATTTAGGGCATGTCATATTTCTGTTTTAAAAGGTCAAATTTCAGCCTGAAGAAAGAGCACAATAAGAACAAGATCCTTTTCTGCTCCCTCTTCCCATCTTCTAACAGAGATTCTCAAAGTGTGGCCCCCAAACCAGCAGCATCACACCACCTGGGAACTTTTGAGAAACACAAATTCTTGGGCCCACCCCAGACCAATTAAATCAGAAACTCTGGAGGTGAGGCCAGCAATTAAGCTTTCACAAGCCCTCTAGGTGACTCTTAAGGTTGAGAACCACTGTCCTAACACTTCTCTCCTCTGATCTGCTTTTTTCAAGTCTTCTCTAAGGTGTGGCCTCCCCTGCTACATTCAAGCCACTCCCTCAAGCCATCTCATGGTCAGGCAAGGTGGGTGCTAGGAGCAAATACTGGAGCACAGGCTTCGTATCAGGGCCACTGAGGAACTGCCAGCAGTACATAGAGCCATCTGAAGGAGGCCTTAGGCAGGCTAGGATGAGGACTGGCGAAAGTCCTCCCACTTGACTATACACCTTACCCAAGCATCATCTTCTGGGCTGAGGCCAAAGATTCCCAAGCCTGTGATGGGAGAAGGTAATGGAGGAGAACCTGGATGAACCCAGGGTTTTGACCTGGGCATTGGAAGCTGATCTGTTTAGGGCATCAGGCCCCAGCACCACCCCATCCCACTGCCTATCCATTCCCCTCTCACCTTCCTCGGGGCAGCAGCAACGGTTGGGACAGCAGGGGCAGCGGACGTAGCAGCAGCAATACTGAGGACAGCACTGGCACCAGCACACTCCAATCAGCAGGATTAGGAGGAGAGCTCCCAGAATGATGAAGATCACAGTCAACCAATCTACAAGGGAGAAGCCAAGCAGGGGTTGAACTGAATATGCAGGGACATGCTTCCAGTTCTAACACTCTAGAGGTCTAAACACAGCTCTTGACCTACAGGTTAAGGTTGAGCAATATACCGGCAAAAAAAAAAAGTTTAGCTTTGGTAAGGGAACTTCAGAGGTTGGCTTGATTCTTTCTGTTTTTTGCTTTTTTTCTGTATGAAAAAAAAGTGTCATGGTGGGGTGGACAAACAGAAAGCTCGAGCAGCACTTACGCAGGACAATGAGTTTCACCTCCTTATCTGGGTCTCCTGATGTGTCCCCGGGAGCCTCAATGGTGCAATAATACACTCCATGGTCCCACCACATCACTTCATTAATTACGAGATCTGCTCCTGTAAGAAATGTGGGAGAAAGTGTCTCTGGTTAAAGGCTCTGACTTAACTTCCACATTCTAAGAGAGCTGCTCATAATTCAGAAAAAGGCTCAATCCCTTCTTCTGAGACCCTCCTCTTTCTCCAAACAGAATAATGGCAGTAGAACTGATCCTTCTTGAGCTCTTTTAGAAATCTTAAAAGGATCTTGGATATATCACCTCATTAATTTCCACCACAATTCTCTAAGTGGGTGAGGTAGAGGTTGCTAGTTATCTTCCAGTATCTACTCTCCCTTTCTCTCACAGTCATAGAGTTTTTGGTCATGTACGTGGCCATCCAGAATAAAGTCAGTATTTTCCAATCTCTCTTACAGACGGACACAGACATGACTCAGTTCTGGCGGACAGAATGTAAGCAGAAGGGTCACATGATGACTCTCAGGAACTTTCTTAGAAACAGTTTGGCAATACCTTTGCCCTTTTGTTCTTCATCTCTTCTTCTACTCTGTTATCTGGAAATAAAATGTGATGGCCGCCATCTCAGACCATGAGGGAGAAGATGACATTCTTAGTGAGCTAGAAGAAGCTTGGGTCCCAGAGGATTTAATGGGACAGAGCCACCCCACTAGTTCTGGGCTGTCTACCTTCAAATTTATACCTGAGAAGCAATTAACTTCTTTATTGTTGAAGTCACTAATATTTTGGGCTTTTGCTTACTTGCAATCAATCTTAATCCTGATACAGTGGGCACAATTAGCTGCATTTCAGATAAAGAAACCAAGAGACTAAGCAGGTCTTAGCCTTCTCCAGAGTGCTAAGAAACTGACCTAACAACAGAGAGAGAATGCTTAGCAGGGGTAGGTTCAAACCCATGTCTGTCTGCCTCAATATTGGTGCTCTTAACCACTAAGCTCTAATGTCCTCTCCAAACTGGGTGGGAAATGCGGCAGCCTGGATCCCTCACCAGCTGTGATCCCTTCTGGACCTTCAAGGGATAGGTTATGAGATGAACTTGAATCAGTAGGAAGGACATGCCAATATTTAAAGAGTTAATGTTATTCAAGAAAACAATTTCAGTTCTTGTGAGCACCGAGGGCTGTGCTACCACATCGAGATAGATGAATAGTATGTCAAGTTTAGTAAATGTAACAAACGCTCACTGAAGACCTTTTGTGGGTACAGCACTATATCGGACACTGTGGGAGATC